AGTTGCTTATCGCTGTTGGAAGTCGCCATGGTTTGTGAGAGTAGAAGAGATCGAACAGCCTCGTTCAATACCGTTGCCAGCCGGAAAGGTGTCAGTTTCAGCGGGAGAGGTGTCTCCTCGTACAGAGCTGACAGCTTGAAGTGTTCATTATCGTTGCTTTATCAACATGCGCTGAGCCGAGGCACCGCTCGAGCCTGGGGGAGCGCGGGGTAGTGTCGGGGTTGGCAAGCCAATCAAGGCTTGGCTCAACCCGAAAAGAGGACTTCAGTCCGTTGCTGGACGCTCTTTCAACTCCCGGAATTTATGATTTCGGCGAAGAGTGCTGCAGCCTTGCTTGGTTGTTGTATTTTCGGGGCTGACTAACGCGTGGTTGATGAAACTTTCCAAAGGGCGCGCTGTCTGCATCTGAATCATCAAGGCGCGCTCGTGATACGGCTGATTGCCATTTCATAGGCGATGGCAGCATCAGCTTGGCTCGAATGGTACATTCGAATGCATGTAGGGTGAGCAGCCATGCCATCGTGACACGCGCATTGAATGAATAAAAGCTGCGGGACGCATAGTAAAGCCGCCACTGTGAAAGAGACCAACTTGAAGCCGAGAACACGTAGCTGAAAATGCTTCCCTCAATGAACATAAGCAAAGACAACATGCTCAATGATTTGCCGCGAAACAGCATTCATGGCGAAGAATAGAACAGATCCAGTATCACATGTGTCAGGCGAAGTTCGATGCAATTCAGCAACCGACAGCTCCAACAAATTCCCATCTTCCTCATCACCGCAAAGCCAACCCCTAAAAGAATGGCGAACAGGTCACGTGCCCTGGTTCACGACCAAGGTACGTATCCTGCCCCCTAACACAACGACGGGCAATAGGCGGGGGCGGGGCAGGTCCAGCAATCCCCGATAGAGGGGCAGCAGCTGGCGACTTGGAGGAGGGGAAAAAAACACTACCTCCGACTCGCGGTTTGAGTCACCTAGCACATCACCACCTCTTGAATTTCGCCCAGTTGAACCCCAGAGATCGCACCTACCGTTCGGCATAGGTAGTCTGGGAACACTGCGTCCAAAATGAGCATCAGCTTCCCCAAGACCGAGGAAGAGGTCATCCGCTTCTGGCGGGAGGTCGATGCCTTCCAGACCCAATTGCGCCTGACAGAGGGCAAGAAGAAGTTCACCTTCTACGATGGTCCCCCATTTGGTAAGCTGCCTGAATACGCCCGAACACCCCTTCAGAGGCTCGTTTCTGACTTCAATCTCGTCCAGCTACCGGTATGATGACCCGACCCTGGCCTCCCAGCCTCGACAACACGCTAACAGCGCAGGTCTCCCCCACTATGGGCATTTGCTCACCTCGACCATCAAGGACATTATCCCGCGATACTGGTCCATGAAGGGATACCATGTCACCCGGCGCTTTGGTTGGGACACGCACGGCCTGCCCATCGAATATGAGATTGACAAGAAGCACGGCATCTCGGCCAGGGACGCTGTCGCGCAGATGGGTGTCGCCGCTTACAACGCCGAGTGCAAGGCCATTGTCATGAGGTACGCTGCCGAGTGGAGGCAGATCATTGAGCGTCTGGGTCGCTGGATCGACTTTGACAACGACTACAAGGTAGGTAGCACTGGTCTGGTACGGGTTTCTCGGATATGAAAACTGACCCATTACGCAACAGTCGATGGACGTCACTTTCATGGAGTCGTGTTGGTGGGTTTTCAAGCAACTCTTCGACAAGGACCAAGTGTACCGCGCATACCAGATCATGCCCTACTCCACCGCCCTCGGCACTCCCCTCAGCCAGATGGAAGCGAAGCAGAACGAGAAGACGACACAGGACCCTGCCATCCTGGTCGCTTTCCCCGTTGTCGGGCAAACCGGCTCCCTTGTCATCTACACCACGACGCCTTGGACACTTCCGTCCAATATCCTCATCGCCGTTCACCGCGACTTTGAGTATCTCGAGATCCTTGACGAGAAGTCCGGAAAGCAGTACTTCATGATGGAGAGCGGACTTGCTGCTCTCTACGGCAAGGAGCTCAAGAAGGCCAAATACAAGGTCCTCCGCAAGCTGCAGGGCAAGGATCTCATCGGCTGGAAGTACGAGCCGCTATTCCCCTACTTTGCCGAATCGTACAAGGAGTGTTTCGAGGTCATCGGCGCAGATTACGTCGAGGCTGGCGAGGGCACGGGTATCGTTCACCAGGCTCCTGCCTTTGGTCAGGAGGATTACGATGCTGCTGTTGCCTCGGGCTTCATTGGCGAGAAGAGGCTGCCGCCTTGCCCCGTCGATGAGAAGGGACAGTTCACCGCTGAGGTGCCTGACTATGTTGGACAGCACGTCAAGACCGCTGACAAGGCCATTCTGAAGGATCTGCGCTCAACCGGACGTCTGCTGGTTGAGTCTCAGACGTCCCACGTTGACAAGTTCTGCTGGCGCTCAGATACGCAACTCATTCGAAGGGCCGTCTCTTCTTGGTTCATCCGCGTCACGAACTCCATTCCCGAGATGCTCGAGAACCTGGAGAAGACGACGTGGGTTCCCTCCTTCGTCAAGGAGAAGCGTTTCGCCAACTGGATTGCCAATGCTCACGACTGGAACGTCTCGAGGAACCGTTACTGGGGCACCCCCATTCCGCTGTGGGTTAGCGAGGACTTTGAGGAGGTTGTCTGCGTGGGCAGCATCGCCGAGTTGAAGGAGCTCAGCGGGTACACTGGCGAGCTCAACGACCTGCACCGTGACAAGGTTGACCACATTGAGATTCCCTCCAAGAAGGGCAAGGGTATGCTCAAGCGTGTGGACGAGGTCTTTGACTGTTGGTTTGAGTCCGGAAGCATGCCCTATGCCTCCACCCACTATCCTTTCGAGAACGCCGACAACTTCCAGGGCAGCCTTTTCCCTGCCGACTTCATTGCCGAAGGTCTCGACCAGACCCGTGGCTGGTTCTACACGTTGACCGTTCTCGGCAACAAGCTGTTCGGTGTATCGCCCTTCCGCAACTGCATCACCAACGGCCTCGTGCTTGCGTCCACCGGTTAGTTGATTGGAAGAATCTGTAACGTCGTGAACTGACATATTTGGTAGGCGTCAAGATGTCGAAGAGTCTCAAGAACTACCCCGACCCAAGCAACGTCATCAACGAGTACGGTTCCGACGCGCTCCGCCTGTACCTCATCAACTCTCCCGTTGTCAGGGCTGAGCCTCTGCGCTTCAAGGAGGCTGGCGTCAAGGAAGTGGTTTCCAAGGTCCTCCTCCCTCTGTGGAACAGCTACCGCTTCTTCTGCGAGCAAGCCCTCCTGTACAAGAAGAACAACGGCGAAGATTTTGCTGCTGATCCTACATTCACTGAAGGCAAGGGCCTCGAGAACGTCATGGACCGATGGATCCTGGCCGACTGCCAGAGCATGCTGCAGTTCATCGACCAAGAGATGGCCGCGTACCGCTTGTACACGGTCGTGCCGCGCCTGTTGTCTGTCCTCGACAACTTGACCAACTGGTACATTCGCTTCAACCGCAAGCGACTCAAGGGTGTCGCCGGTCTGGGCCTTGACGACACCAAGGCCGCCCTCAACACTCTACTCCAGGTCCTTCTGACCCTTGTTCGGGCCCTCGCACCCTTCACTCCTTTCATCACTGAGCACATCTACAGCCTGCTCAAGCCCTTCCTTGGCGAGGTCCTGAAGGACTTTACCGATTCCCGCAGTGTGCATTTCCTGCCGTTCCCCACGGTCCAGGAGGCACTGTTTGATACCGAGATCGAGAGGAAGGTTTCCTCCATGCAGAAGGTCATCAACCTGGGCAGGACGGCAAGAGAGCGACGCACGCTGAGTCTCAAGACGCCCCTGCGTTCCATCGTTGTTGTGTCTGATGAGCAGCACCTCAAGGACGTCGAGTCCCTGCAGTCGTACGTCATGGGCGAGCTCAACGTCCAGGAGGTTGTCCTGAGCAATGACGAGGCAAAGTACGGCATCATTCTGGAGGCCAAGGTCGACTGGCCCACTCTGGGCAAGAAGCTCAAGAAAGATGTTCAGATTGTGCGCAAGGCGCTGCCCAAGCTCTCGCAGGAGCAGCTGAGGCAATACCTTACCGACAAGACCATTAACATTGATGGCATTCAGCTAGAGGAGAACGACCTGGAGATTGTGCGCGTCTTGGCTAACAAGGATGGTGCCAAGGCGGCGGGAGACCTTCCTCAGCTGGAACCTGCCTTCTCCAACGATGTTATCATCCTCCTCGATACCGATGTTTCGGCGCAGGATTTGGTGTACGAGGGCCTGGCCCGTGAGGTCATCAACCGTGTGCAGAGGATGCGCAAGAAGGCAGGCCTTGTTCCCACGGACGAGGTGCACATGCAGTACGGCGTCGTGGCCAACCCCGAAAGCACCGACGTCGACGCTGTGCTGGAGTCCAAGGAGGAGCTCTTCGTGAATGCCCTGCGCGGCAAGCTCGAGCCTCTCGAGGGCGCCTCGGGTGAGTCTGTCATCCTCGAGGAGGAGCAGGCCATCGGTGAGCTGAGGCTGATGCTGAGGCTGGCTCGCATCTAACGAAGGATTGGAACATGAGGAGTGAGGAATTGAAAAGGCGTTGCATTGTAGCTAGAAATGTTTTATCCTGAGTTCGTAGAGTCAACATGATCTCGATGGTTATCTGTCACGGTGAGCATGGGCTGCTGTCCTTTGGTGCGACCTCAATTCGGAACTTCAAGGGTGGTCCTGCTGCTGACCTGTCCTGTTGCCCATGGAGGCCACGAATTGAATAACAGCTCAGGATTTTTATGATGTCTAAAGTGCATGCTCGCTCGACGCTCCCAGATCCAGCCAGCACCTGGATCAGGAAGTCTGTTGACCATCGCTGATAAGATAAGAGGACGTCCCCACATTGTCCCATACCCCTGTCCCGAGGCTTTGTACCCAACCTTTGGTGCTTGCCATGACGTCGATCGCATTGTTGCGCCTCTAGAGCATTGCAGGTCGTCTGACTGAGGCAATCCGTAGGTTTCACGACATTTTTATTTCAGACGTGGCTCATCAGACGGTTGAACTGACGCGCACCTGCGCCTGGTGTTTGTGGTCGGCAAATCGAATGTCAATGGTCTTACCAACATGGATCTGGCCATGAAGGCTCGGGCCCAGTTCCCAGCCACCCGGGCTGGCATCTCTTGTAGCCATCAACAAACATAGGCCTACCATTCACCCGCCCCGAAACCCAACTTTGCACTTCGGCCACCAGGACCTTCGTGCAATAATCCGCTGCAAAAACCATTTTCTGTGTGTTGCTCGACTTCATCCAACGACACAGGCCTGTCGCTGACTGACGTAAGCCGGCACGAGAAGCTTGACGCCTCCAGTCCAGAACGAGCGCCTTCTGGGCACCATTCCCAACCATGCGCCACTCAACGCTGCTAGGGCTGCCGACATCTCTGCTCCTCCTCGTCACATCACAGGCTCAGAGCCAGCAGGCTCGTCAACCCATTGCGATCCGAAAACTCCCCCTCGCCGCATCAGAGAAGCTCTTGCCTGAACACTTTGCCTTCGCAGACAGCCCAGCCATCGATACAGACAAAGCACCGCCCTTCCTCAGCCCACGAGAAGCGGTCCTCGCCGATCGACTGCAGCTTTCAGTGGACGAAGAGCAACTCATCGCCCTCAACGCAAGCGACGCCTCGAGTAGACCATACCGACCAGCTTTCAAGTCGCATGAAGAGGAGGGAAGGCGCGATGGGTGGGACTTGTTGCGGAGAGCAGCCGAGGTGCTCAACGTCCTCGAAGGGAGACAGACCTGCCCTGGGGGTATGGAGGACTGCAGTAACGTCGGCGCCCCCAACAAGTGCTGCATGAATGGCGAGGTGTGCGTTGAGGTGGACAATGCCGCCGTAGGAAACGTCGCTTGCTGTCCGGAAGGGGCTGAGTGCGGCGGACCCATCGGCCTTCCCCGGATGGCTCCCCGAGGTTTTTGCCAAAATTAGGTGGAGGTTACAGATTCCCCGGTTTTTTTTTTCAAGGTTTAGGTTGGGATTTTCCCCCCCCCCCCCCCCCCGTGCCGTACCTGGAGAGCCCGTGATGCTGACTCTTCTCGCAAGGCGTTCCAAGCCCTCCACCAGTGATTACAAGCACAACCCAGAGGCCGACAACAATCACATCAACATCAACAACCGTAGTAGAAGGAGACGAACCTACGACGATTGTGGTCACAGTGATCATCACCGCAACGCCTGAAGCCGAGACGGTTACGAGAACGAGCACCAGCATCTTGACACCACGCCTTCAACCACGACCGTCAATACAGTAGTCATTCCCCCTTACCGACCGACATCTGCAGAGTCCCAAACCACGGAGTCAACAACGTCGGAGACGGCACCTGCCGAGACGCCCGAGGATTACTGCCCGACTGGGTTCTACGCCTGCCTTGCCCGTGAGGGGGGAGGCTGCTGCCGCACCGGTCGTGACTGTGCAACAGTCGACTGCCCTACGACGCCCCTCACGACCATCACAACGGACGGCGCAACCATTGTCGTGCCGGTCACAGACGCGAGGGACGCGGCTGACGCGCAGGCCACCGAGACCTGCGCCAGCGGATGGTTCCTGTGTGGTGACGAGGGAGGTCCTGTTGCTGGCTGTTGCCCGAGCGGGTTCGAGTGCGGGACGGCGAGTTGCACTTCTGCGTCTGCCTCTCAGACAGGCGAGGTTCAGAAGGTGTTTCCGGAGGCCGAGGGTGGAGCAGGGGATCACGGGCTGCGCTTGATGAGCGTTGTTGCCCTGGTCAGCATGGTGGCTCTGGCAGTGCTTGCTTGATAAGGCAGTAGCTTAGATTTATGATACCAATAATGATGATTAGTTTAGAAGCTCTTGCTCTTACTACCATCTATGATGCGTATTTTGAGCATGTTATCAGCCCATTCGGCTATTTTCGGAATGCTGTTGCTCTCACTTCCAGTCAAGGAACAGACATCACAGGAAATAAACTCCGTGAACACCCCAAAGCCACCAACCCTTCCTGCCGTCACTTCACACTCAAGAAACACGGCATTCAGGAGGTCACGCAAAGTGAACAGCCAACAGTCATTGGTTCCTCCACCCCTCTACCGCCGCTGACTGCCTTCTACATTTCTAGTTTCGACGCACGCAGAGAAAGTATGACCGCCAGGCGGCAATACGCTGCTGCGTTCGTTCTACATATCTAGTCGTCTCCCTCTGATCTAACTCTTCCTCTCTTCTTCTCCCAGCATCATCTTCCACCGTCTTCAACCAGCATACATCACAAGCTCACATCATTCCCAGCCCAAGCCATCGCTAGCACATACCCATTTTTGGAATCATTGCATGATTTTTTGTCCCCCTTCGCCGTCCAAGGTTTCACTGCAACAAACTACTGAACCCCGTCACCACGATGATTCCCTGGCTT